GTCTATTCACTCAGTTGTCCTCGGTCAGAGTCGCACGCGCGGCCTCCTCACGTGCATGCACTTATATGCCATCAGCCATCTTTCTCAGCACCTTCAGGCAATTTTCCCAAGAGCCTTTTCTTTGTTCTAGGGTTTTCGAAATCTCCGTCTTCTCGATCACAGCTCCTTCCATTGGATCTTGCTCCGGATTTTGGATTCATTTGAATCGTTGCATGCTCTATTCTTCAAAAGTTGTTGGCCCGAAAAAGTTGATGGTTCAGCTGATGAATTCCGGGAATCTCTGTTCGGAGCTTGAAAAGAAGCCGGCCGTCTGTGACAAGGTGCCGGTGAAGTTGGAGATCGAGGACCCGCTGGAAGAAGAGCATGGACCTCTGAACAAGCGTTGTAGGCCTTCCTCGGATTCTCAAGAGGTAAGCAATCTGTTGGTTAGGGTTGTTTGGTTACTGGAAGAGCTTTGCAATTCTGATCAACATCTGGATGATGACATATGTGGTCAAGGGTCATTTCTTGATTTCGTTTAAGGGATATCCCAGAGTGTAAGGAGGTGAAAATTAGGATTCTTGTCTAAATCTCATCCTCAACGGGTGTTATAAGGTTTATTCAAAATGCGGTATTGTGTTTTTAGTACTTCACTCTTTTCCTGGTACATTTGTTGTCTTCGCACTTGCTATCCATATTGCTTCAATTTTTTTTTTTGAAAAGAAAAAAAAAACTAGTCAAGCAAAGTGATCCTTCAGCAATGATTTTTTTTTTTTGAATCAACGCATTCAAAAGCTCATCATTGGTGACATAAAACTTGATCTAACTTATTTATTTTTCCACATTATAGTCAGGAATTGCAGATTCCAAATTGTAATGGTGGCATGTTTTATATGTCCACATTTGTTGCCTAACTTATTTATTGCAATTGTGATGGGAAGATTGATATGCATGCTTTAGATATCCATTCCTTAGTGTATGACGCATGGACGCAACTTCTAAATATTTACGTATCACGTGGTACTTGATATATTTCCATGACCTTTTATCTGCCGGATTAGATTGGCAGATTTTAACAATGTTATAACGTAATATGTGGAACAAATTCCATCGTGATATATATATATATATATATATTAACAATTTTCACTCACAAATTCATATGCATGCCAGTATGCGTGACTGATGGTTTTGGATATGTGATGTTAAATCCAGACCAGACTTTGAGTGTGTTGGCTTTGGGGGAGCGTCCCTCCCAAAAAAAAAAAAATGACGTTTTGCAGCAGCAGAATTGGGAGGGGGAGCTCCCCCTCAAACATAACCTTTATAGTTGAGATGTTGCCAACAGTTTGAGAGGTCCAGTGAATATTTAAGAAGCTGAGATTATAGATCATTCCCTTGGGTTTCTAACCTGATGAAAAGTTCTCGTTATTTATTTATCTTTTTGGCTTTGTTTTCCTATATGGCTATAAAATAGTCTACAAGTTTAAGATGTTCTGTCTTTAATATTTTCATATATTGCGTTGTCTATCCCATTGGTTAGCAATGGAGTATTTCAACAGATATGTACAACAATCCGCCTTTGCAATACAATATACTTGATGAGCCTAGCCCCTTGGGGCTGCGTCTAAGGAAGAGCCCTTCACTGTTAGATTTGATTCAAATGAAGCTTTCGCAAGGGAGTACAACTCCTTCAAACACACAAGATAAAAACTTAAACTCTGACATGAAAAAGGAGAGCAGAGGTGCTTACGCATCAGTTGCCGGTGACAAGCTTAAGGCTTCAAATTTTCCAGCTTCACTTTTAAGAATTGGCTCTTGGGAGGTATATTCAAGATTCAAGTTACTGTTTGTTTGGGAAATCTAGTTTGTTATCAAATTCAGCATGGTTGAAAGCTATTTTTCATGCAGTATAAATCTAAATATGAGGGTGACTTGGTAGCAAAGTGTTACTTTGCAAAACATAAGCTTGTTTGGGAGGTCCTTGAAGGTGGCCTAAAGAGTAAGATAGAAATTCAATGGTCAGATATTATGGCACTCAATGCAAATTTCCCGGACAATGGACCCAGTATATTGTCTGTCGTGGTAAGTGATTGCCCTATTTTCCTCTCTATATTATGCCTTAGCATGGTTCTTTGAAATTGGGTATCTTTCTGAGTAATGGTTTGAACTTTGGAGTTATTTTCAGCTGGCTCGGCAGCCTCTTTTCTTCAAGGAGACTAATCCACAGCCTAGAAAGCATACTCTATGGCAGGCCACTGCAGATTTTACTGATGGACAAGCTAGCAAATACAGGTCCTTTTTTTCTCCCAACAATGTTGTCATCTGTTTCATAGATGCTGACTTAGCTGTCATGAATTGATCCCATACAAATGAAATAATTTTGTAATTTTGGAAAGATAATTATGGCATTCAACAGACACTCAACAGAACCATTCTAAAAGATCATTTGAATTGTTTTCATTACTCTATGTACGCTTGACAATATTTGTGGCTAGTAGTGGTTTTAATTGTAAAATAATTTTGTTAGGCGCTTCATTTTTATTTGCAGTAGGATTGTACAGCAGGTTTAGTCCCATCCTCTTGCGCGCGTGTGCACATTGGTTTTTGAGATGTTTTGAGAATACTCTTTTGTTGTTCTGTAGGCAGCATTTTCTGCAATGCCCACAAGGACTGCTGAACAAGCATTTTGAAAAGCTTATCCAGTGTGATGCGCGACTTCATTTCCTAAGCCAGCAGCCAGCAATAATTTTGGATTCACCATATTTTGATACAAGACCATCTGCTTTTGTCAACCCAGATGAATCCAAGGATCATTGTCTCGATCAAGTCAATGATAAAGTACGTGCATCATCTTGTGTGCAGGGCATAGGGTCACCTCATGCTTCCCAGTCATCATCATTTAATATTGAAATCAGTGATCCTTCTTGCATAACCTTGGATAGCCGGTCCCGAGAAGCACCTTCCCCCAGTTCAGGTACATTAGGAATTTGGCTCTTGTTTGACTTCCCTGGCAGGTGTTCTTATTGATTTGTTCATCTATCTTCTCATTTTCCATTAGAGAGGGTGAATTTTTTGGTTCACAGCATCTTCAGTAGTTGGTGCTGGACTTTTCATGCTTGAGTGCACCTCTGTCTTTTGACAAAAGTTTATTATTTATAGCTATTTATTGTTTTACATTTGCTTTTAGTATGAGTTAGTTTATTTATCTCTTACATTTTGGTTATGGACTATCTTAACTGAAGGTAGTGGATGTTCTGAAACCGAGTCCAAGGGTCCAAGAAATTGGGATCAGATTAAAGTGCCTGGGCTCCACCCTTCAATGTCCGTGAGTGATTTTATGAGCCACATTGAACATTGTCTTTCTGAGCAATTAAACTCTGGGAATCCACCTTCTGGTGGATCTGAATTACGGGCGATGCTGGAGGACATTTCACAGTACCTACTCAGTGACATTCAGGTTGCAGCAGCGTCTGATGAAAAATCGCTCATGTCTAGGGTCAATTCTCTCTGTTGTCTTCTGCAGGATCCTGCGACTGTGCAAAATTCACATAGTACTGAGGGATGTACTGCTGTAGAACCTGATGAAAATCTTAATCTGAATCATAATCTTGGATTGATGCAAGACAACAAAAATAGAACTGATGCCAAGGTTGCTGAAGAGGACACAAAGGATGTCTCTGGGGGCAAGCAAGCTCCAGGTATGTCCAGGAAAGACTCATTTGGAGATTTGCTTCTCCATCTCCCTCGAATAGCATCTCTTCCAAAGTTCTTGTTTAATATATCAGAAGAGGACAGTGATTGCAGTCAACCCAGATAAATTTGTCCAGTTTGGCATTTCAAAAGGGGCGAGGCTTGAACTACATAGCAGATGCTAGCTAGCAGCTATGTAGAAAATACGAGACATGCTTGTTTAATTTCTCCCTTGGAAGTCGCTAGGATTTGGAAAACATGTTTTAATGAAGAATCCTGGCGATTCCATGTAAAAAGTTGTCGAGTAGATGCTTAGCTCTATTTTTTCCCCTACCCTTGCTTGTGGAAGGTTGTATGTTGGTATGTAAATCATGTGTCATCTAATATTAGTTCAATACTTGAATAATTCGTGACTTGAATCTTATTGTGTTAATTCTTGATTGAATAATTCGTCTCCATTTAGCTAGAGTACAGGGACGAAGATTAGAAAATTTGTAGCAAAAATATTCACCTAAAGCCTTTTCTTAAGAAATTTACTTTCAAATCTCAGATTGTGGCTCCAATTCGTCCACCTCGTTTTAGGTCGCTTATAGCATGTTAATTGATAGATTGTTGTCGATAACAATCGCATCTAATGTTGTACAGGAACTTCGTATTGGTAATTAGACTGATTTTCTTGTGCCATAATGAGTTACTCTTCAAAAGCCTGCACAACTCTCCGTCAATCGGAGAGTGCGAGTGTAACAATCGCAATCCAATTTGCTAGCCGAAGATATCAGTAGCTAAATTTTGTTTGGTCCGGTAACTTGAGGAGGTTCCTAGGATATCCAAAGCCTTAAGATGAAATGTTTGCATGGTGAGAAGTCAAAGCCAGGGACCAGGAATTAATTTAAAATCCCAACCAGTTGACACTCAAGTCTTGTGTTCCAAAGGAAAATAAAAAAAAAAAGGGCGGGGGTGTAGATTTAACTTTTGCACCGCTTCAGTCATTGACCTTTGTACCCTCTGGAATTCAGTTTAAACGGCTTGAATGGGAGATTGTATGTTCTGATAAATTAGACATTTACCTCCTTATCCAAGCCAAGCTTAGATCCAATTACAATCAGATTCCAGTTACATCACTGAATCGTGAACTGGTAGTCTTGCTCAATAATCACGACAGATTTCTAAACATCGATAAAGAGGGGATGTAAATTTCAAAGGCTAAACGACTATCTAAATCAGTTGCATCAGTAAAGTATAAAAATTTGTTCACCAGCTCCAAATTGAAAGCTCAAGATACCGAATGAACAACAAAGTGCCAAGTAATAATATTCACAAAGAGGATAGAAATATGTAAGGGGGCCAACTAAAACAATGGATCATCATATGTACAAATGGTTAATAAGTTCAGCTTCCACAAAGAGAATTCCAACTTGAAATGACGACTTTATATACAATTGATTACTTCCCTCACGTCCCATCCATATCTATCAAGGATCATGTGCAGGATCAGGAAGCGGGTAAATGAGTGGTTCTATCAGGCAACATTGCTACTGTCACTACGAAATAGTCACAGCCTACGGGGAGACTATATGGGTTTGAAGCTGATCCTGAATTCAAGGTCAACCGATCAGTTCCCATGTCAGAGATCAGTTGATCTGCCCTAGCACGCTCAGGCCGAGGGGAAGTTGGAGGCGTGGCCTTCACAACTTGGTGTTCAATATGAACAATCAGTCCAATGATGTAGTTGGGTCGGCTAGGAAGGCGGTCGGCAAACAGGGCCACACATTCAGTAGATAAGTAGTAGTTTGAGCAATCCCTTGTAATTGCCTGATATTGTCCTGATGCGTTGAGGACAAAGACAGCAATCTCATGAACTTCCAGGCGACCAAAAGAGATCTTTTCTTTGTTTGCCTGAAGCAAAATCACAAGCAGAGCATATTTTCTAGTTAGTTGATTTTCCTGCCACATATTCATATCAGCTCAGTTCAAAATTTGGAATTTCCAAAAAAGACAGAGGCTCCAGACCTAAAACTATCAATAGATATGGAGTTCTTTATGCAGTCTTCAAAAAGATCGTTTACCGACTACAGTCAGTATCACATACTTTCAAAAACTTAATATACATGAAACCAACCTAGAACCGTCAGTAACATGAGGACGATATGTTACCTGCTTCTCCTGTTGGTGCTTATTGCATAAAGCTTTGACCTGATTTGCTTTATCCTCCAATTCCTTCCTAAGCTTTTCATTAGTAGCTTCAACTTTTGGATGCTTGACAAGCAGCTCTTCATGTTGCCTCAACAAAATACCAACTTTATCAGCTAAAACGCGGATACATTTTCGGAACTCAGCAGTATCATCATCTTCACTGTCATTTGCAGACCTGAAGGAGAGGATAGTATCAGAATCATCATCTTGTTACAATTCATAAATAAAAAGAAGATATCACTGTGAAGCATCTTATATAAATTCCTGAAAGGAACACTTTCTGATGTCAGGTATGTTGGGTGGGCTCCAATATCCCCACCCCTTCTTTTTTCCAAAAATAAGAACTGCTTACCAGTGAGTGTATTTGTCAATTCAACTAGGAATTACAAAATCAAATTGTTTCTTCTAGATGACCTTTTAGACCATAAAAATTGTAACTTCATGAGTATATTCAGTATTCAAATTACTGATGTTCTCATATAAAGTTAATTACTCACAAGCACAATTATCCTCACAAGAAGAAGTTTGTTATTTAATATGGTTTCAGCCTACCCCAAAAAAAGCAATTTCCTTTTTATGGAAAGGAGGGGCTTTATAAATAATAATAATCGTAATGAAAATAAAAAGTTGGAGGGAGTATATTTTACTTGGCTAAAGATTGGGCCAAAGCCCGCAAGGGATCAGCAAAACCAGCAACACCACCAAGAGAGCAAACACAGTTCTTGAGTCTTTCAAAAAGGCTTCGCATTCTAAGAACTGATGAACGCAGTGAACTGTATTCTGAGGCTCTTCTGTCAGAAGAACTTTTTTGTGTTAAAGCTTCCTCCCTTGCCTCATGCAAGCAATTCTCCAAATGAGCGCAATTCATCTGATGTGCAAAAGGGGAAAAATACATCAGAAAAAAGATAGTGCATTTTCATATGTATACGAAAATGAACAATATAACTCATCCTTGCTGCCTTACATTCCCTATTCAAGTTCTAGATGTCAAATGCTAATCCAACATATCATTTCACCTTCACATCGTAGCCAAATCTAGAAAGAACAACAAACTTACGGTGTGTTTGGATTAATGAGGATTTGAATTTGAACCAAATTTCTCATTTGGATATACAAAAATTCATGAATTTGGATTTGATTCAAATCTAAATTTATTTCAAATTATAATTCCTTTATAATTTCAAATTTCCTTTATTCCCTAATCATGTAAAATTCTAACAACTTCAAACATCTTATTCTCTACACGTTTTCACTATTATGATTCTTGTATTTTTTTTCATTTCTTGTCGATTGAAAAATAAAAATAAACTCTTCATTTCCCATTTTTTATTTTCATTTCAAGTCTCAGTTCATCTCTTTTTTTCATTTGAAATTTTTTAAACTACCCAAACAAAAGATTTTAAATGCATGGATTTCAAATGTAAGATTTGAAATGCAAGATTTCAACTATAAAATTCAAATTCAAATCTATCAATCTAAAAGCTACCTTAAACTGTTGATTAAAACCTGCGTTTTGCTGTGCTATCACCCATTCCTTCAAACGAAAACAGTTTCAAATATATTTTCACTTTACTTTTGCCATGTGCACCTGCTTGTGTGGTGTAGAAGCTATCTCTACAGAGCCAATGTTATCATTGTGGAACTCCTTGATTTCTTGTTACACATTGATGATGATCGAAACATTGAATATTTTGAAGAAAGGTTGGAAGTAAAGTTAGATGTGAAGATCATGCTGGTTCTGAACAGAACAAAAGTTTTGAGACAAACCTCGAGTTGCAGAATTACGCATACAGATTCAACCAACTAAACTGCTATACCCGAACGAGTTTGTTATTCCAAATGTGTCAGAAAATCAAGAGTTATTTGTATTTTCTACTTTTTCCTTTCTTTTCTTTATTTTGGGCTCCCAATATATAGCCTATGGTAGTTAATTTGGGGAGGTTGAACTCAAATCATTTGGGAGTACTTTCACTAAATCTGACTCTTTAAAATTGCTACAACGACTAGCCTGAAGCATCTTGAAGGAGAGCTTTGGGTTAATAGATAAAATGTTCACCACCATTTTGAGGAAATCTTGAGTGCCACTAATATACCAAGTAGATAAATCATTGGAAATGACTCGGGAAACCTAAAGGTAGAAGAACGTCTTCAATATTTCAATGTAAAAGAGGAGAGCTATCTCAAAATAGCCCGATGTTATCATTGTGGAACCCCTTGATTGCCCATCAAACATTGATGATGATGATAAAATCATAGATTTTCGAGAGCAATTGGAAGTAAACTCAGGATGTGAAGATCATGGTGATTTTGAAGAACAGTTTGAAGATAAACCACAAGTTGCAGAATGTTTCGTTGAGAATCAACCAACTGACTGCTATATCCCAATCAAGTTGCTTATTCAACATGCACTAGAGAATCTAAAGTGGTAGAGTTCATCCTACCTAAAGCTCCAAGACAGATTTTTCTATCACTAACACATTTCAAAACTCAGTCATGTCTTTTGCAACCATGGGAGAATGATGGAGAATGAACAGATCATATCTTTCCTTGTTAATTATTTGTAAATTCGGCATTAAGACGAACATAAGAAATATTTCATTTACGATTAGGGTTATCAATTAATATTTTAAATTCTTTTATTTGTATTTTCTAAGTTTTACTTATTTTATCTATTTTTAATTTTAGTGCTCCCTATATAGCCCTATAATAGTGTTTTATGAAGACGTTGGATGATAGTTCAGTTGTATTTTCTGAAAATTTCTCCCCACATTTCTCTCACACAGATTCTCCCCTTTTATCCTTCCTCCTCCCCCTTTTCAAGTTCTCTCCTGTATCACCACGGGAAGGGAAGAGAAATGAGTAATTTATGTTTTTGGCTTTTTACAGAATAATAGAAAACTCTTCTCCTGATGAAATTCATGTTTAATAATGCATACAATTAGAAAAGAACTGAATAATTTCTTTTTGGGCTAGATGATATTAAAACACTTTCCCAATGAAATTCCAGCATATAAATTCACGTCTCCATAGACAGAAATTGAAACAATTGCAGACCACATTGAGATAGGGAAAAGAGAAAAAATCAGTAGTCAGATTGGGAAACACTGAACATCAAGATAATAATGCAACTTCCTTTCAGAAAACAGTAACCCTAGATTGATATACATCTGGACACACATTGTTACCTGGGATTCATCAAGAAGATTCTGACTTGCTTCCAATTCCCTTCTAAGCAAGGGAACCTCTTCCATAACAGATTTAAGCTTCATTTCAGTTTTGTTTAATTGGCTTGTCTTGTCTGCAAGTGAATATTGTAGTTCCAACAAATAATCACCATTTACTTTAGAATCCAAGTGTGGAGGAACTGCTGAGTTGCATGGTTCAAGATCCTGGGGTGAAGGCATGCTCTCAGCAGTAGAACTGTTTGTCATTGACATATACAATTGTCCTACTATCTTATCATTCCTATCATTTTACCACCTTGCCTTTCTTCATGATGAAGCTCCACCATAGGAGAATCCCACTGTTCGTTCTGTAATCTAGAGGAATCTAACATGCTTTCATCCACTCCATCTATAGCTTTCCCTCTGTGTTCTGTGAAAGGACCAAGTTTTGCACCCAAGGGACTTGAGATGCATGAAATCTCATCCATAGATTCAGTAGTTGATAAGCAATGAATGTGAACGTCACCTCTCACAAATCCTGGTTTGCAATCATTTTTCTTCCCAGATCGTAGGGCAAATTCAGCTGCATCATTTACACTGGAATTCTTCTGGCCCAGAAAATACGGATCAGACAATTTCTCCTCCAATTCTCGAATGCGTGTCTCATATGAGATGCATTGCTTCTGCTTCATCCTAAGCATGGTTTCAATATGTTTGATATATTCATCTTTCAATTGCAACGCTTCAGTTGTCTTCTCTGCAGCAGTCTCCAGTATACTATCCACCCTATCATCATCTAATGACTCATACTCTACCTCAGGATAGAGAGAACAAATTAAGGCTATTCTAGAAGCAAGCTCAGCTTTTAGTTTTGCATTCTCAACTTCCAACCTGCTAGTTCCAGCAATTTCAACCAACTCACTGCCATCAAGAAGGTCCTCATGCTCAGAATAATACCTTGTACAAGAGCCAGTAGCAATTTCCACAGCCTCAGTTGAGTGAGAGCTATAAGTAGACAAAGCAGATGAAACTTTAAAGTTTCCATGCTTCTCCAGCTTAGATGCTACTCCAGCTAGATACTCTGGAGCATAACGATCCACATCAGCTATGTCAATATCAAGCAAACCAACATCAAATGGAGTTATATTAACTTCACATTGGTTAGGGATGTCAAATAATCCCATAGATTCTAATACACCCCCAGGTATGTATGGACTGTGTGCTCTAAGAAACTCCTCCCGTTTTCTGACCTCAACTTCCCGCTTTGTGGCAAGCCTTTCAGCCATTTGCCCAGCCATGCCCATGTACAGCTTCATAGAAGCCTTTCGTCTCACTACTTCAGCAAGGCAAGCTCTATATGCAGGGCCAATACCATAGAACAAGTTCAAGTCCACAAATAAATTATCCTGACGTGTCATTGCCTCTTTGAAGGCAGGAAACTGTAGCTTCTGATCTTTGATGAGATAGGAAGCATAAGTTATGTTTTGCATGTAATTGTGCAGAAATGTGTTCATTTCATTCTTCCTCTTCTTGCAAAAGTCAAGTAGCTTGGAAATAGCCTGATCACAAGTAAGCATCCTAGGCAAGTGATCATTGACATGAACATAGTACATAGGACCCAAGGCTGAAACTGCATCATGAGGACGAAATGAGGAAGACAACTGGCAGGACACACAATCATCCACCAGTTTCTTTACAGTGTTAACGTCTTTGCTGCAGAAATCCCAACAAAAATGCAGTTTATTAAGTTTATTCGTGTCTCAGAAAATAAGAGTAATATAGAATGAATAACATAATGAATAATACAGCAGTAAACATGTGAAGACAAATGATGTCCAGAAAGAAGCACCATTATTCTATTCCAATTCACTTCAAGTGAACTTGAAAGTGTTTAGTTCCAAAATTTAGAAAAGAGCATTTTCAACCAGATAAGCATCAAAATGACCAAGAAATGGTTGAGAAGCTTTGCAGGAATCGATTATAGATCAGATCCACCTGCCCAATTATGAGAACCAGAGCATTTAAAAATGTTAGACTAATGTCTCCTGAGAAAAATGCCAATCAAAACAATTGTTAGCAACGACAATTGAACCCGCAACCCTGAAGCCAATTTGAGAGATTGGCAATTTTTGACAAGCAGCCAGAATACATGTATTTCTTTTCGCCGTCTAATAAAGAGCAGTAGACAGTAAGAGCAAACAAACCACAATCATAAAATTGGACAATATAAAACCAAAACTAACCTGAGAGATTGCATGATACTCTTCTGCTCATTTATATATTTCTGGTGTTCATTAATTGTTTGTTCTAAATTCTTGATGGACAAGACATCTTTGACAGACAACAATCCCTCAACCCTCTGCTTCACTCCACTAAATGCCTGCTTAAATTGTAAAACCTTATTCTCAAACTGCTTGTGGGAGTTGGTACAAATCTCCACCGACTTCTGTAGGTTCTCTTCCTTCACAAAATCCATCAAGCATTTGCAGGCAGGAGTTTGTAAAGCAGGATGAAGTTTGCAGGATTTTAGTTTTTCAACATTCCTCCCAAAATTCACCACAAGGTCAGAATGCATGTGGCGTTGCTGCATATAACGTTTCATGAAATCCCCATAGTTTTGATTAATCACCCGATAGTACTGATCCAAGTTACCCCTTGCAACCTCCACTGCTCTCTCTTGAACCATCTGTTCTCTCAGAAGCCTCTCACAATGCTCATATTTCATTATTGAACGTCTGAAAATTGCATAACCACATTGGTAATGATATCTGAATTGCCGCTCATATGAAGGTAAGGCCTTCGTAGCAGGGTCTGAAGCATCATCCAGAGGGTGGGGATTATGAGATGAGGACGGTGATGGAGGCGCCACAACATCGTCAATGTCAACTCGCTCTGGTGGAGGAGGCAATGAGTTGCTCTGGAGTCTTGCTTTATTGAAAATGAACACTTCTCCGTCATCGCATGGAAGCTTATACGCAGAAAGCGGTCTCTGTGACTCAAGCTTCATATCCAAATAGAGGACAATTTGATCATTAAAGTTAATCCCAGAAAGAGATTCAATAACTCGCATGATTTCCTCAACAAGCGCGGTTTCATCACAATCCAAGTCAAAAGAGCGACCATTCTCAGCAATATGAACCAAGAGCTTTCCTTTGCAGACCAAGCTTCCGGTGACGCTGGAACTCATCTTATCTCGTTGATAGGATTCTTCCGCCACCCTGTCACCTATATCTTAAACATACCATTCCAAGTAGCCAGTTTAACACTAGCCTTTTACAGTATTAGCTTTTCCAGTAGAAAGCTCCCAATTTTGTGCCTAATGAATATAGCTACAGAAGAAGAAAGACTTCTATGATGAATCAAACATCCATCAACAACCCTGCATGCAACAGTCCAACAGAGGTTTTCCAATTACAATGCCAACTTTTTTACCTTCGATCTTATTTAAACTCCGGGAAAAACCAGCCCAACAATAATGAGGAAAGCGAAGCAACGTTCGTCACAGCACGCCAAGATCCGAATGCAAAGAAAGTGATCCTCACAACCGAATCGAGATGTGCAGAAGTAAGCCCAAAGTATGCCGCACCAAGTCCTCGGCTCTTCGCAAGAAACTACAATCCCACAAGAGAGAGCGCACGAAGCACAATATCACAACTCGAATCATGTGTTCATATTTGATTGAAGGGCTGAAAATGTTACCCACGGCAAGATTATCATATAATATATCACGTGAAAATACTGGGTTTCTAGAATTGGAACCCAAAGCAAGACTATGGTGAAACCCTCCAATCAAAGTTGGTTTCTTTCTTATTTTCTTTCGTCCTTTTTCATCTTCAGTAACTGTAATGACTCTGTGCTTAACCCAAAAAACTCTGGCCACTTTATTCGAAAAACCCTTGCGGGTGAGCTGAAAAGGGAAATAAGAACCAGAAGGCAGAGGCTGAAGCACCGTCACCTCGTCTCTCGTTCTGTCCCCACAATTCGGACGGAACGGAAAAGCAAAGCACAAATGTCAGCCATATCTTAGTTTGTTAGCCTTAACCATCATTGGAATAGGAACTAATCCTTTAGGACCCAAAAGGCAAAAAGGTCACTAATCAAGTAACCATCAATTATTAACCTTTTTTCTTTGTGGTGTCCTTTAATCATCATTCAGATTTCAGAGCCATCATCCACGACCAGTAACTGATGATGCCGTGATGCAATGCAATGCTTTGATGGTTACTTGATTAGTGAGTCACTCTCAAAATACTTCACCGCAACCCCAAAAAAAACAAAAAAAATTAAACCTTATTAATTTATATTAAAATTTAATAAGCGTTAACATCTGCATTTTAATAAAGACAAAAATAATTATATTAATGATTTTTCTTAATACTTAAAAAGTATAAAAATTAAAGATAAATATAAAAAATAATGAAAGTTCTTTATAAATATAATTAAAATTAATCTTCTCTCCCTTCTTTATAAATAGCATAAGAGGAGTAGCAATTTTTTTAAAACTAAATTAGAAAGTCTAAGAAAAAATTTAAAATTTGTTGTTAATTTTTTTTTGTTAAATCATTTTCCAAATTTCTAAAACTATCATCAATTAAAGTTAATAATCATATCATAATATTAATGACCCCCTTCCTCCCAACAATTTGAGGGCTCCCCCCCCCCCCAAAAAAATTAATTCAAAAATGATTCATCCGATTTTGATAAATTGTGTAAAAATTATGGAGTATTAAAAAAAATCTAGAAAGCATTTTATATCATACTTCTCAGATCCTATTTATAAAATAAAAAAAAAAATTTGTTTTGATCCGTTTAAAGGGCGCCTCAATGACTATTATGTTTACTTTATTCTTATGTTTCTATTCAATATTAGTGAGATCATTAAATACTATAATATTTTATTTTTAGAGTAGGTATTTAATAGGGGTGTAGTTAAAAACTTGTTAATTTTAAGATAAAGTTAATAAGATTTAATTTTTTTTAATTTTGATAAAAATATTACAAATAATTTATAAATAGGATTAGAGGAAATATACGAAAAGTAGTATATTAAATAAGGAGGAATAGCATTTTTTTGTAATTTATCATGATATTGGGGATATTTTTAATCCAAAAAAAAAAAACAAATTGTCATCTCAATAACATAATTTATCAATAACATTTGTAAATTACATATAGGTTCACCAAATTGGGTTTCACACACACACACACATTCGTATTATAATAAAAAATAGTTAATTAATAATAGTCATATTTTTCCATCAGTGTCCATGGTTGCCTCCCCCCAAATCCACATATCTTATGCATTAATACTATTTGAAATGTATCCTAATAATATAAATTATTTTTCAATAGTACCATTACTATTTATAAATTTATATTTATTTAAAGTTATAATAATACCGTTTAACTATAATATTAATTTATTATCCATTATATACAGACAAAAAAAAAATAGAGCTAGCTTTGTTATTGTTCCTGTTATTTCGGATGTCCTTCCTTACAATTGTGCATTGAAAGTTAGGTTTGGTAATTGTTTTTAAATTGATTAGGAGATTATGTGATTGATTAAAAAATTATTCTAAGTAGCGAAGTGAAGTGATTTCATATCCCCATTCCTATTGAGAAGAAGAGAAGCAATTGGAAATTGTATTTAATAAATGCATAATTTTGCCAAAAAATGGCTTATAAATTGAGATTAAATGAGTACTTTATGTACGTTACAAAACTTATACTTTCCCAATTTTTATTATAAAGCATCTTCTAGGTTCTTATTATAAGTGATCACTTAATGGAATATTAATTAATTTTTTCTAATATTATCCTTAGTCGAAGTCATTTATAATGTGAGAGGATGTAATAAAAATATTAAAAAAATTTAATTATGGGTAAAAATAAAATTTTATTTGAATTGATTGTTATGTATTTTTTTTTCTAAGCTGAGAAAGTATAAAGGAATTGAGGGGTTATTAATTTAATTGATTGATAGAGTTAAATAGTTTATCCTGAGATTTAGAATTTCAATTCTAAAATACACAGTTACATTAAAATAACTATATTAAAAGTGTCATCGAGGTATCTATAACATTCTATAAAATCATCACTGGTAATAATAATCCCATATAGTGAATTTTAAATTAATTTAGATAAGAGATTGTAACATTATCAAGTATTTTGAAGACTGAATGATAGAATTAAAAAAAAAAAAGAAAGAAAGAAAGAACAAAACTGTCAGAGTGGGTGATATGGTATGAGGTATCGAAATCTGTTTTTTATTCTCTAAAGAAAAGGCTGACAGTCAAATGGGTGGCTCCAAGATATCCTGCTTTTATTTTGTTTTTTCTTCTAATCCAGAAAAGAATATGTGGTTTGTTTTTATAAGAACATTTGCGAAAAGGAATTTTTTTTTTTAAAAAAGTGTAATTATTATCAAATAGAGAGGGGCACGATGAAAAGGACGTTGGGGAGAAATTTAAATTGAATTGTCGCTCTCCAAGAAAACAAACACGCAGTTTTGACAGTTCACATGCGCCTCTGTTATTGTTTTGAAGGACAATGACTCTCCCTGGAATCACAGCAATTTGGATGTCTCACCATCAGACTCAAGATTGGATCTCATTTTTCAGTCACGATTTAGATCGAATCATTTCATTATTATTTTTTTAAAAAATATTCTTGGGGAGGAAAAAATGATTCGGCCTACTGCATTAATTAATTATTAAAAACTTTGATTCTGACACTAAACGTCTAATTTAGGCCCATTTGGTTATAGGAATAAAATGAAAAA